TGAACGAACGAAATCTAAAGCTGTGAGGTCAGACGGTTTGTACAAAGTGAAACAAAATAAAACCGGCTGATGAATCAGGCAAGTCAAATTCAGGCCCGGGAGCCAAATTTGGCCCGTGATATAATTATATTTGGCCCATCATATACATATACATTACAACATACATACAGGCAAGATCATATCAGATATGTATTAGAGCTGCGTGCCGGCTACAGAGGCTATAGAGACATTATTTATTTAAATGTTTGTTATTATTTTATATTCTACTTGTTCTGAATTCAATGTTTATGCAAAACTATTATTAAACATTTATTTTAATAAGAAAATCTGATCTCGAAAGAAGAGAAAACATGCAGATGGTGTTGAAATTTTCCATTAAATATTTATTTTTGGTCCACGACTTAGTCCCAGCTTTTAATTTTGGCCTCTGTGAATTTGAGTTTGACTCTGTTTTACGGCATACTGTGGAACATTCCAGGCAAAGCAGTAACATCTCCATGGAGACCAATAGATGGCAGACCCTCCTTTAAAGTCTACCTTGAGTAACAGCGCTTCAGACAGAGCAGAGCCCACCGTTAGCGCCACAACCCCGGGGCATGTTGATGACATCTGCTGCAACGTCTCAATTCCAAGAAACCTTCAGAACACTCTTCTTCGTATTAAAACCAAGTGTGCTGTTTTGTCAGGTCTCCTCCAAAAACATACAAACAACTCTGAAACCTTGTCTATTGTACGCCGAGTGGTTAGAAGATCAAGTAAACTGCTGCTTTTGTGCAAAAATAACCCTTCAGACACTTTTGAAAGTACTTATTATTTTAGCCTAGGCCTGTCACGATAACGCAGTTTGAAGTGACAGAAAATATAGGTAATACTGAAACTAATTGGTAGAAATCATCTCAAGAATATAAACAAAAAATGCTGAATATTGTAAGAAAATAAATAAATGAATAGAAGAAGAAGAATGAAACACTAGTAGTTTGTCTGTATCTATAATGAGTCATATTCAGTCAACCCTCTAGAGCTCAAAATGTAATGTAAATAGAAAAATAACAAAAGGTTCCCCACAGAGATAATATTAACCCTCAAAAATTATTATTCCATCCGTGACTGTAGCATTAGTAGTAGTATTTTATCCATAACCTCTACAAATTAAAAAGTAGGGATGTAACAATAACTGAAATATCGTGATCTTGTATCGTCAAAGTTCTCACAATAACATCGTGGACCATCACAATATATCGAATTACAAGTGTCTTTGCTTAAATTAAGAGTTATGGTGCAGCAATAGCTAAAAAAAAGACAAAGGGAACTACATAGACCATGATCCTTTGCTCCATTTCAGTGCACATGAAGAAATTTCTAAGCACTTTTTAGTTTTAGTTCTTTGGATTAAGTCTTTTCAAGGTATTTTAAGAGGAAAAAGTAGCATATTAACAGTTTTGTTTGCAGCCTCCACAAAATATTGCAATAAATATCGTACCGTGAGATGTATATCATGAAAATATTGTATTGAGAGATTTGGATATTGTTACATCCCTCATCGTGAGCCTCCCCACCATATCATGAGCTTTCCCATGATATCACAATAAATATCATACCGTGAGGTTCATACCGTGACAGTATTGTATTGTGAGATAAAAAAGGGTTCAGAAGAAGCGCTTCCTGGACCTCCAGAGGATAATACACAGTATGGGCAGACACTTTTTGGACTTTTCCATGACAGCAACCCGTCTAATCTGCAGGTACAAGGAATTGACCATATACCAGACTCTTTGTGAAAAGGAAACCAGATTGCAAAACTCAAACAGTGTGAAACCTACTGGATCTATAAATTATAGGCAACAAAATATCCTGGGCTTAATGAAGATTTGGACTTCTCTGTGTTTTTATAACTGCATGGTGTTTTTTGTATATATTTTATATTTTTGTAAATAATAAGTTTGTATATACCCTATGATGTCCTACTGTTTGAACATTACCATCTTATGGCGTTATTAGGTGAGTCTCCATTCCTCCTCTTCCAGGTGGAGCAGCCCTATTGGTGGTTTTTTTGTATTTAATTCACATGATTTGCTCTCAGTTCTGTTTGTCCCCTGAGGAAAGCCAGAGGCTGAAACGCGTCGGGACTTTGTAAGTTGTCCATTAAGACATGCCGTAAATTAATAAAGGCATTTTATTTTACCAGTGAGAGCCTTGGGTTTTTTGCATCATTGTATTGTGAGACTTGGATATCGTTACATCCCTAATAAAAAGCTCCTGTTACACCATTTTCTTCTTGTATACATTAAAGAACCCAAATGATGCTATTTTCTGATCTATGTTATAATGTTGTTTCCTCATCACAAACATACTTGGAGTGTTCTTTTGTTTCATTCACACATGTTTTTCACACAAATCCTGCATATTTAGGCTCAATTCTTCTCTCAAACGGGAAGCTCTCTGTTCCAACTTGTGATGTCGTAACACAGGAAAGGCTCCACACACCTTCACTAGAATCATTTGGATGATTTCAGACCTGGATTTGCCAATCTCTACTGAACAAAATGTAAAAGGTACGTCGATGTTAACTTGGAAACTACCGCTACATGAAATCACAAGTTGGAACAGAGCATTTTGAGCTTTGGGGGAAGTAGACAGACTAATAATGCAGCAATACTCCAATGAATTAAACAAAACACAAATCCAGGTCTGTTTTTGATGAGGTAACAACATTCATAACAACTAGGGCTGTGCAAAAATATTGAGCTATCGATATATTGTATAGTTTAATGTAATGATTCAGTATTGACATCATGTGCTGCAGTACTGATATATTGCCAAGAGTATTTTGGGTATATTTTACTAAATAATTTTGTTACAATGCTACGGTTTTGTTGTTTGTTTAGTGGAAGGAAACTCATTTATGCGACACATTTGACATTTTCACTGTTTTGAGAATTAAAATGTTTGTGTTTCATTTTGTGTACAGTAAAATCAAGTAAAACTAGGAACTGAAATGCATTTACGATCGTCTAAATAATGTGAAAATCTCTTCTTGTCTCGTTCTTGTCGATCCAATCTCGTGGAAATTATTTCTCATCCCACCTCTATTAATCAATAATTAGCCATAATAGTCATTTATTTAACCCTCTACAGCTCGAATGTTAGTATATTACAACAAAAATACCCCAAAACTCCCCATTTTTACAAAGAAAATGTGCACACGATAAATACTGACCCCCAAAATATACCTACCTAAGTTGATATATCGTAATTATCGTGACAGGTCCACAATTTCTGGCATTTAAAGGTGCACTGTGTAGCTTTTCTAGCAGAGTCTCCGTCGTCTGCTTGTCTCCATGGTGATGTTATTGTTCCACAGTACGGCATTATACAAATGCAGTATATCTTGCATCTATTCATTTACAACTTGTGGTTTTTTTTCTCAAAATTACCTCGAAAACTTGTGTTATTACTGTCAGCTGGTCCACTTCGCCACAGTGCTGACTTGTAACTTGGCCTGGTGAAAAAAAACGTTGAAAAAAGCGACACAGTGCACCTTTAAATTGGTATATTGGTGTATTCATTTGAACTTTACACAAGAAGTGGTTTAACAAAGATAGTTATGATTCCATGATTTAGCCTTTATCTTGTACTGAACCGAATCAAACCGATCTGAAATATATCGTATCGAATCAAAGGCTCACTGTATCGAGATATGTATAGTATCGTGGCCTGTGTATTGAGGTATGTATCGTATCGGCAACTTCTTAATGATACCCTGCCCTAATTCTAACATGGTTTAAAGCTCACAAGAATCCAATTTTGGACCTTTAAAACCATTTCGTTCTACTTACAAACAGTCAAATCGAAGCTGGCATTCTGACTGTCGATTTCATTTTCATTATATTTCTTGTAGAAAATGCTTACACCGACGCGGCATTCTGTCATTCAATTTGGATCACCTTGTGCCCGAAGGGAGTGAAACAGAAAATGCGAGAAGAGGAAGAGATGGCGTCGAGCTAATGACCCAAACCGAACTCCAAACCTCGTTGCTCTCTTCAGGACTCTGCATTTCCAGGTGAGACAGAAGCTCGCCGCATTTATCATTCTTACACACTGTTCTGCTACACTCACTCTATTGAATAACACTACAATGGAACGTGTAGCTCCAGGCCTTGCTGTAATTTGACTGGGCACTTCTTTATGTGAGTCATATGCTGCCTGATGGGAGCATCTATAGCTGCGAGTTTTGGAGGAACACCTTAAAAAGAGCAGGTGATGCTGTTGTTGTTGTATGTTGTAAAAGGCTTTCTAGAGAGTATTAAAGCTTAAAACATGAAGTAGTTCTGATGACAAGCAGCTAATCCACACTCAGGTCACAGATGCTCACTGCAGAGTCAGATTAGTCCACACAGAGCAGAGCCTTTATGCTGAATGTTAATAACCCATCAGAAGTTTGTCTTGAGGCTGTGCTGTACTCCATAAAATACTGAGATTAAAACTGTATTTAAATGTGAACAGTAAACTTTAAATACACAGCTGAGAATATGTGAAGTATGCATTTTACTGCAGTTTTCCAAAGGGAATCATCTTTATTTACTCTATACTCTTAAGTGCGTGATGTGTTTGCGGCTTCCTATTTAGGACATGCTTGTGACGCTTGTGTTTGCGAAAGGCAGCGTGCGTTGGGCCCCTCTGACCGTCACTCAGGGTGGGGTTCACAGAGGAGCTCCATCGCGCGCGCCGCCACGCCCCCGCGCTTGGCGCTATCCGGCGCTCTGGTGCTGAACGCTGGGTCCGCACACAGCTCCTGCCCGCAGCCCTGTGGACAGACGCACCGAGCTGCACGCAGCCCGCTCCGTCTGCCACGATGAGAGAGCGCAAAGTTCTGGGGTTCTTATCAGTGGACCACGCGCTGGACAACTACGAAGGACATGTTTCTCAACTGTTTATTTTCTCTTTTTGAATGATCACTCGCTGTCTGCTCCGGTCGCTGGGGGATATAACTTGGCGCCAACATGATCTGGAGGCTTGTGTTGTGCAGCCTCCTCGCGCCGGCTGCTGGATACCTGTCCTCGGAGCGGGTGCCTTTCTTTCACGGGCATGTTTTTGAGAACTCACCGACAGCATCTAAAGTAAACGGACTTAGCATTCCGGTGAGACGTCTAAACGCGCAAAAATGGTGCCCAGTCTCCGGGCTGCATTTGAAACTGTACGGCAACGGGAGTGAAGATTTTCGAGTTTTGACACACCACAACAGAGGAAATGTATTGCTGAAAACTTGTCGGGTTTTGGATCGGGAAAGGCGCTCGGAGTACGTACTGGACCTGGCTCTGCGCTGCCAGGGCTGCGGACCGGAGTGTGGCGGTGCTCACGTTGTCGCTTCTGTAAAAGTAGACGTTTTAGACGCGAATGATCACGAACCCATTTTTCGCAGTGCAGACGCGGTGCACATAACTTTAGATGACACGACAGCTCTCCGTAGTGTTGTGTACAGGTTTGAGGCTGTCGATGCAGACAGCGGGAAGAACGCTGAGTTAACCTACACGTCTGTCCCACAAAATGGCAGTTTCTATGTAGTCCCCAAAACAGGAGAACTTCTTTTAGTTGATTCTATCCTCGGTTTACCCTCAAAAGTTAGATTCAGTGTTTACGCCAGGGACCACGGCTGGCCCCCACTGTCCAGTAACCCGGTCACGGTCATCATATCTCCACAGCGATGGCCCTCCGCTGAATTAACGGGGTCAGTGCGGTCAAGACGCGGACCCAGGGCGTTACTCGACCCGGACACTCTCCTCTCTCTCAACGTGTCCGAAGACGCCAGCATCGGCTCCGTAATCACGAGCCTGAGCCCCAGCAGATTCCAGTCAGCCGCCTACGAGCTGCTTCACCCGGAGCCCCACAAGTCCCCCGTGAGCGTGGGGCGCGACAGTGGAGATATCATCATTACCAGGCGCCTGGACAGAGAGACTGAGCCTATGGTGGAGCTCACGGTTAAGATCCAGGACAAACGAGGTGTGTAATACTCCCCCCCCCCTCCCCTCAAATACATGCGTGTCTATTATGTTTGGGTATGTATGCTTATGTGTGCTGGCCGAAGCATTCTCACTGCAAATCTGCAAAACCCACATTTTAGCTATTTATATATAGGCCCACTAAGCATAGGCCAGTCACTATAACATAACAGAACCTCGACCTGTCACAGTAACACATGTTGAAATGCGATTAATTGCTAAAAAAATAGACAATAAACGATACTAATGACACTAATTAAACCTAAACTACTAGGATTATCTGCAAATATGATTCTAAATTTAATCTACGGTTAAAGCGCAATAAATAAACAGAAAAATGACACACTAAAGTACGTAGTTTGCATCTGTAATGAGTCATAGAAGTTACTGATTCAACCTTTTACGTCTTTAATCTTATCCTGTAACCTAAAAATAACCACAAATCCCCCAGTTGTGCAAAGAAACTGTGCACCCCCCCCAAAAAAAAAATACAGTTCCAGTTATAGTTTCATACACTGAATGATTAGGCGATATGGTAATTATCTTGACAAGCCCAAGTCGTTGGATTTAAATTCTAACACGTTTAGTCCAGAGAGATAATGCGGTGAACAATGACAATGAAACTACATTTATATCTGATACAATAGCAATATAATGCAAGATAATCCCAGTAAACTGATTTTAAATAGACAATATCGTTAAAATTCCTGAGCTGCAACAGGTAAATATCAGAATTAATCCATACAAGATCTCATGCCATAAGACAAAATTGCAACACAGTAAAAATGAGCTCATGAGATATTTTCTATTCATGTTTTTACAGTTGGATTGAAAAAATAGAGGTACATTTTTTGAGCTTGCATAGCCCCAAAAAGCAGAGCTGCAATGACAACAGAAATGTACAGTAAAAATCAAGTAAAACTAGGAAGTGAAATGCATTTATTATCGTTTAAATAATGTCAAAATCTCATCTCGTAGATCCAATCTCATGGAAATTGTGTCTCGTCCCACCTTTGTTAATCAATAATTAGGCATAATAGTCATTTATTTAACCCTCTACAGCTTGAATGTTACTATATTACAACAAAAACACCCCAAAACTCCCCATTTTTACAAAGAAGATGTGCACACGATAAATATTGACCCCAAAATATGCCTTTCCAGCTTTTATATATCGAAAAATAAGTTGATATATTGTAATTATTGTGACAGGTTGACCATTTCTGGCATTTAAAGGTGCACTGTGTGGCTTTTCTAGCAGAGTCTCCGTCATCTGCTCATCTCCATGGCGATGTTATTGTTCCACAGCATGGCATTACACACATACTGTGTATCTTGCATCTATTTAGTTACAAGTTGTGGTGTTATTTCTCAAAATTACCTCGAAAACATGCGTTATTGCAGTGAGCTGGTCCATTTCTCCACAGAGCTGACTTGTAACTTGGCCTGGTGAAAAAAAATGTTGAAAAAAGCAACACGGTGCACCTTTAAATTGGTATAAACATTGAAAAATAATCACTCGAGTATATCAGTGTGCCATTTGGAAGCGTTTATTTGGACTTTTTGCTCAAATTTCATAAAAAAAACACCTCACTGTACTGTAATATTTTCATATGCCATAGTTTTTCTTAGGATTACTGGAAATATAAAGACTTAAATACAATGTGTAGCTTCTAATGGGCCCCCACCCTCTGTTCCCGAGGCTTTATTTGCATTGTGGCCTATTTAGACAGTGATCTGCGCATCTACATGTTCTAATTGTCCTGCCATCTGGACATAGCATCTTCCATGAGTGAACGCTGTGTGTTTTATGTTCCGCGCTGTACGCCGAAAGCTTGATGGCTCCATTTCACTTTTTCATCACAGCTGTCAGTTTGTGCGTGTCCTCCACAGGTGCGTCTAGGCCATACATCTCGATAAGTGATAAGTAGACTACAATTTGCATCTAAATTATTGTGATTTATTCAGAATGTTGATGTTGTCAGTATCTAAACGAGGGGAAATGTAACTCTATGAGGAAACTTTGCACACCGGGTGAATATTGTCCTTGAGTGACGCATTTTGAAACCGCGAAGTTGTTTTTAGAGCTAATCCTTGCAGAGTGGCACACCATGGCGACCCTTTTTCTCTCATCTACTGGCATTACCCCTCTAATCCTCCTCTCATTCACTCGTCAGGCCCAGGGATTTCAAGTGACACCGCCACACTCGTGAAACCCCATTTTCTTGAGGAAAATGTGAAACTGTATTTGACTGATTTTTAGTTTTGTTTTTCAATTTTAAAGGTGCATTGTGTAACTTATGAACAAACTACAGGTGGTTTTACAGCTCACAAATGCGTAAAAAAAAACAGGCATTGTGACTGTGAGCGGGGTCGCCTCTCCACAGATCTGACCTGTAACTTGGTCTGGTTTGGATTCGATGAAGATAGAAAGGTTTAATGCCGTACTGTGAATTAGGGGCGTAATGGTACACAAAAGTCACGGTTTGGTACGTACCTCATTCATTTTCGGTACAGTATGGGAACAAAATGAGAAACCATTTGTTTGTTGTTTATTTGTGTGTTTATTAAACCAACCTTTTTTTTTTTTTTTTTTAACCCAACCCAAACATGCAACACAGGTCTCCAAGAAGAATAGTTGATAGTTGAGGTCAGTTAAATACAATCAATCAATGAACCTGCCCAGGAACTACAGGTGGACATTATCTCCGGTGCTACAACCTGGTACAATGCATCGCTTTTGTTAAGGTTAATGTAAAAATTGTGCACTGTCCCTGTCTCAAATAAATAAATAAACATTATACAAGCAGGAAAATATAATAAATGCAATGTGCTACTTGGTAATACTAAAAAGTTAGATAAAATATTCTTAAATAAGCAACAAATGCATGAAATATTATACAAAAAAATAAATTCCTTGTAAACGGTAAACAAAACTTTTCAAAAAGTAAAGCACAGCACTAACAGTTCCAGCATGAAGTTTTACTCAAGCTTCATATTTCTGGCCAGAAAAAAACAACTTGTCCACATTGTCTACAGTAAGTGCAGATTTAGGGGGAGTGGGGATTTCTGCGGTGAGCTGACCCCGGGGTCAACATACCATACAGTATGTTGACCCCGGGGTCAGAATCCTATTATGGTGTGTTGACCCCCTATGAAAATTTATATTTTATTAATAAAGAACTTGAATTCTATAGAAAAAACTTTGAATATTAATACTATATCTGCAAGTTAAAACATATTGACATATTTAACCCCCCAATGTTTATTGTAGTTATTATGATGTAAAGTAAGAAGTAATGTTAGTTGAATATTGACAATGATCAATTATATATATAAAGGAGATCAAAATCCTACAGCTATAGTAATCTGACCCCCCCAGTATGTTTATTATAGTCAGATACTTTCAAGTGGCTCATCTACATACATTACATTTACACAAAATACCAAGTCGTTATCCATCAAAACATTCCTTAAAATACCTTAAAAGAAAGTGAATATGTAGCAATCTATAATAAAAGTAAATTACATGAGAAATAATGATCATATAAGTAACTACTAAAGAAAAAAGTAAGGGGAGTCAAAATCCTATAGGGGGGGGTCACTTTACTATAGCGGTATGTTGACCCCGGGGTCAATATACTAATACTATCTCACACCAGCAAAAAGCAAATGTGAGGACCCCGTCAAGACGACTACAGTTTTACAAGGATTGACGTGGTTTGGAGGGACGTAGTCAAGGCGGGGGGCAATTGTTGTCAAGGCGGCCGCTCTAACTATAAAGCGCTGTGGGAAACACTGCCACCCCAATCACGGACGAGCTCCCTTGTGAATATTAAAGAGCCGATCCTTCCGTGTAGCCGCTCATGTAATGACGGAATGTAAACACGCACAAATTACGCAAACTCACTCGTTCACAGCCCTGCGTCGAACTGTACCGACCAAAACGGTTCAGCATGAATATCATTACACCCCTGCTGTGAAACATTCCAGGCAATGCGATGACATTTACATGGAGAAAAGCATTTGTCGAACCCTCTGCCAGAAAAGCTACACAATGCACCTTTAAAAATATGCAAAAAACAGACACAAAAACTATGCAAACTACTGGTGTAAACAAACCAACTGATATATACTAGTTACTGCATCTGATTACATTTTGGTAATAGACAAATCAGAGAAAAACAAGAAATCGCAAATGTTTTCTGCTAATTGAGCTACATAGAGAGCAGGAAGCAGTGTGTGCCATTTCCATGTGAGTTGCCTGCTGCTAATACTTTGCACAATGTGTTCTAGCCTGTAATTGCCTGCCTGATTGGGACACGTTCCTATAAAGTGCGGCTTTTTTGGTATATTTGCAAAAAGCCTGCAAAAATACTGAGTGTTTTGACATCTCCTCACACATGTCTTAAGAGAAATAAGCTACTCCAGCCTGACAGATATTCACACAGCTCCTTCCATTTTAGCTGCTTCACCTGTGAAAGTCTCCTCTCTTGATCAAAGCCCCGGTATGTCCTTTATCCGGCGACTACAGCTTTCCAGACAGAATCTTGACGCGGCTACAGAGAGACAGGTCTTTCTTCTTCTTCTTCTTCTTCTTCTCCTCCTCGTCTCATTCCCAAAACTTGCTCCACGGCTATCACGCTAAAGCAGTCTATGAGAGCTGCTTAGCCTTTCTCAAGCCTGATTAGTGCGCTCATCTGAATGCCACTGGGAGACTGATAATTAACATTCTTCAGACATGTACTTTTGTCCTTTGGTGTCTTTGTTCACGTGTGGAGAGTGGATGCTCATGTTAAGACTAAAGTAAAATTGCAGCAGTTGGTAATAGGGCCCCTTGCGCTCGCGTTGCTTCTCTTATGTGATGGCTGTAGCCTCTGGAGTGTGGAGCTGTCCGCGGTGCTGACAGTCACCTGCTGAATGCCAAACAGAGCCCCGTCAAACAGGAGTCTACAGCAGTTCACCGTGTTCTCAGGTCAGAAACATGTCCCAAACGGCTCT